TAGTAACTCCTCAGACTGAGATCAGACACAGGCTGATATTTGGTCTGCACCCTGCTCATCAGCCCATGCATTTCATAACGAAATGTACAGTAAGATCAAAATGAGACCGTAACCTCCAGCCTCTGATGTCAGCCAGGTCTACAGTGTATATTTGGAGTCATGAAGCACCAGAGAATTTGTATAAATCTATCGAGAGCTGAGGGCCTGACTGATTTGTTAACTTAGCATCTATTAATCATCTGCTGCAAGTGATAGTGATAAAGACCCACTTCCTCACTGGAGGGGAGATGATAGTAATTCTAAATGGAAAAACCAATCTACACACACTCATGCTTACCCTGGCAGACTCCCTGGACATGTTTGTTTCTCTCACTTTTTTCTGATGCTCAACAGTTTCTGTCAGGCTGCTAAGCTGTTTAAGAGTAGGTTAAGATTTGTTTCAGTTATCTCACTTTTTGGGGGCTATTTGTGTGAGTTTGTGTGGATACTGTATACTCCCTTCTCTTCTACAGTCATCTGTTTTCCTACTGTTTCTGTAAGCACACCGTACAGTGATAGTGGGCTGCAGCATCTGTCTGCTGTAAGATCAAGGACGTGTTTGTGTGTGTGTGTGTGTGTGTGTGGGCCATGCTGTCACTGTGTCCCCACCAGTAATGAAATGTCGCTCAGCTTCTTGTTAACTGTCAGGAAAAAAACAGGATGTTATGCTGCCTTTCCATAATTCTGTATACTATATGATAAACTAGAACAAACACGTTGCCTTTAACTGTCACACAAACATCACACAGCCAGATTTGATGTAAAACACACTGATGTATCAGCTTCAATTACAAAGTGCGAGTCAAGGAAAACAGCTGCTTTTTTTGTTAAATGAGCTTCATGCACTTTTATTTCAGCCTTTACTAAGACTATCTGCTTTATGTTTCTAAAGGACACATAAAGGAAACAGAACAAGATTTAAAATTCTTACTGCTTTCTATTTCATTTGAATCTGGCAAATTAGGTATTTACTTGTAGTTGTGGATTCTTGTCTGTCCCCATGGGTACATCTCATATCTCTTATAAGATCATTCTTATGTCCTCAGTTTGTTGGACATAGTCTCTTAAACTGGCTCAGTGGACCAAGGAACAAGAAATGAGGAGCGAGGACGGTGCTAGAGGAGCCATGACCCAGGATCCACGAGACCATCCTTCGTGAAGAGTTTTGTAAACTGGCACGCCCCTTTATCGGAAATCATTTGGTGATTGGACAGTTCAGGACATCTCATGTCATTAATAACATGTTTCCTTGAGTCCTCTCACCTTGTTTTCCTCACATCTTACGTGGGTGTTTCTAGGACACAAAGAAAAGACACAAGTGAGGAAAACAATGGTACTTATAAGAGACTTGGGATGTATCCTATGTATCAGCCCTGTGATAGATTGGCGACCTGTTCAGGGTGTACCCCGCCTCTTGCCCAGCTTGTCAGCTGAGATTGGCTCCAGCCCCTACCCTCTACAGGATAAGCGGTGTAGCGAATGGAAGGACAGATGGACCAAAACCTTTCAGCTTCCCTTCGTTTATACCACAATACAAAACAGAAAACAACAGCAAATCCTCACATTTGAGAAGCTGGAAGTAGTGTTGCTTGACAAATATCTTAAATGCTAAATAAACTATCAAAATTGCTATCAGATGACAAACAACAACCTGAAAACATAATGCTATTCCTGACATGAAGGCATAAAAAAGATCTCAAAAGACTAACACATGATGTGATAGCAGCCTGGCATCTGGCTTTAGGCTGGCTGCTAACATGTGGTCTGTATGCTGTACAGACACACTTATCTATGGCAAACATTTAAAACACTGTGAGCTGAAGGCAGATAAATGCTGCCATTAATGATTTTATTGTTGTTGTTCATCTTGTGGGAACCGCTTTAAAGCCTCTGTCTTATGCATTCGTCTCCAGCTGTCTGATGGAAGACATGCTCTTCACTGATCTAAACAGATTTACTGGATACAGAGACACTTCTTTAAAACCACAGAAGACTGGCAGTCTGCCGCACACAAACGCACACAGTAAAGGCCATTTGTATACTGGCTGCATTGTGCAATTTATTCATATCAGCGCCTGTGTTTTACAGTAAGCTTTTGAAACAGAGACATGCAATGAATGAACGTTGTGCTGTTGCACAGGGGAAGTCGATGTCCTTTACTTCCCATGAGGTTTTATCTGTAGTTCTTCCCTGTCACTCTCCATGAGTGTCAGTGCAAAGCCAGCTCTGAGTGGAGCTGAGTGAAGAGATGAGCTGTAGGGAATCTGGCCCAGCCTGTCAAATACTGGCCACATACTGAACAACTAGTGCCAAATTCTAAATCTGAGAAAAAAGTAAAAAAGTAAAAATTGTTACTTTAATCTCAAATAGTCCTTCTCTGTCTGCTTGCTGACTGTCTCCTCACAGATACCAGACTACCAGTCCAGTGAAACCTGTATGGATTCGGATTTCACAGCAATTGGAGCATTTAAATTCCTCAGTTGCACCAAAGGAAAACCATATTCAGGTTTCTGACAGTAACAATTTGGAGTTAGTTTTTCTTATATCACAGTATGTTGTCACGTATAGTGTATGCTTTAACAGTATGTCTTTCATGAGAATAGACTGACATGAGGATAAAGGGCAGCTTCTGCTGAGGAGCTGTGGCTCTATCTACAGCTACCACACACTGACCAACTAGTGCCAAATTCTAAATCTGAGAAAAAAGTAAAAATTGTGACTTTAATCTCAAAATTCAGATATAGAGATTAAAATCAGAATTCTGAGGGGAAGAAAGTCAGAACTCAAATAGGTTTTGTACAGTGGCCCTAATCCTGTGTACTGTGTAGTGAAATCCTGCATTTAGCCTTTTAGAGCATGTCAGCTGGGTAGCCTGAAAAGCAGAAATAAAATAAGAGAGAGAAATAAAGATGATGCAGAGGATAGACAAAACTGTTTCTACCAATAACCAGTCAAAGAATGGAATGACAAAATAGACCAGCGAGGGTGAGTGAATATTTTATGCAGCATTTAGAGGTGAATACAGGCAGATGGGAGCAGCTGGAGAATAGCGGGAGAGACAAAGACAACCTTCTGCCATCTGATGGAGACTGGAGGGGCTCTGCATGGGCAGCACATGTCTGCAGAGAGCCTGAGCTGGATAGTGAAGGTGAAACGATAGCCAGGGCCGCCAGGGACATGGCAGAGAGAGAAAGAGAGAGTGTTTATTTTGCTGGTGTATGAGGGAACAAGTGTGTGTTTGTGCTCTCCCTGCTGGCAGTGATTCAGCAGTCTGTTAGGTACAGTAGCTGTGTGACGTCAGAAAGCTGTTTTTACCACATGTCTGTGTCATGGATCATGAATATGTTATCACAGTGTACCGTATCTATGCTTAAGCTCTCAGTTTATTTG